ATCAGTAGAAAAGTAATGACCACTACCCTTCAGTCACCAGCATCTATAGAACAGTAACGTCCACTTTTCAAGCCTCAATATTAGCAGAACAGTAATGACTAGCCCTCTTTAGTCATCTAAAGATGTAGATTTTGGGGAAAACAAGACAAAATATTTCATTCAAAGATGTTTCATCGGAACCAGTTTTAGTCTGTTGGTATTAACGTAAATAAAATTTCAACGTCTTTCTCTCTTGGCATGAAAACGGAGAAGTACGGGGGATAATCTTCTGACAATAAAACAGATAATATATTCATACATTTTACGATATCATTACCTTATGGCTGAATAAGGTTTCACAAGTAATATCAAACATACGTCAACAAAACTGTCTTGTTAACAAACACCTATGTAATCATGATTCATATTTCTAACTGTTATTACTTTCAGTCTGAACATAAGCTGATATTAATTTGAATTTCGCGTAAAGCTACTCGAGGACTATCTGTGCTAGCCGGTTCTAATATTTAATGATAGACTAGAGGGAAGGCATCTAGTCAAGACCACCCACCGCCAACTTTTGGTTTATCATAACTGAGTAGTGGGATTTAACAGTCACTCTTATAATACCTCCAAAGTGCAGAGCACAATTTAGATGGGGAGTTTCGAGGGGGGGGGGAACATAGCGCGAACCAATGAACATCGGATATACAGTTCCAATTGCTAATCACTGGGCCGTGCTCGGCTCTGCTGTTGGATAGCATAAGATTTCCTAGATGAGACCTAACATATTTTATACAGGGGTGGCCAACCCGTTTTTTTAAACACTTGTGCCAATTTTAGGTTTCGAAATTTAAATAAAGTTGTCGTCACTGGTTCGAAAAGCGCCCAAACTAAAGCCCACAATAATTTATGGGTTCAATCAATCAAATTAACAAATATTAGAAATTAAGTGAAATAATTAACAACATGACTCATAGTTGAATAACATTTCATGTGTGTGTGCGGAAATTCCAAGAAAACAAATATGCTACGTGCCACATCATGTGATATTTTCTAAAGAACAGCGAAGTTTTCCTCGCGTGCCGCAAGTGGCACGCGTGTTGTGGGCTACCTGACCACTTCGAAACCGTGAATCAGCTTTTATTTTGTCTTATTGTCAGTGTAAGTATCAAGAAAGTGAATGCTCAGACGTTTCAGGTGACTTTTTATCAGTGGAATGATGTTAGATGTTACGAATGAGGTTTTTAAGTACATTTGTGACTCAAAATTTATAATGCTCAATACTTAGCCGCAAGCAATAATTTTACAAACGTAAAGGTAAAAATCTCTTGAATATTGAAGCTATATGTGAGATCTCCCTATCCCCCAATGGTAAAGCGGTAAGTCAGTAGGCTTAGCAGAGAGCCTTATTGTTTTGCGCCGATAAACCCCAAACAACCAACCTGTAGGCTTATATGCGCTAGAAAACGAGTTTCAATACTCGTGGTCAGCAGAGCATAGAATGCCCATTGTGCAGCTTTGCGCTTAACAACAAACAATTAAACTGTATACGAGACGCTCGTGCAATATCTTTAAATAATCAGTTTTGTTGGTTGTTATATACATTTTTCGAAGCGAAGGTTGAAATACCACTTTATGCTTACACTAGTTAAAGTTACGCAAAAGTTAACTGTTTGTTAATTTTTAATGGAAGTTTCCTGACACCAGAAAGTCCGAACTTGATGGAAACAAAGTGATTTTAATATGATCATCCCTTCATGTAGCTGAGCTTATTATGAGGGCCCGTCCTAATTCAAGAGAGGTGTAGCTATTAATACATCTTATAAATAGTGCAGAGCTTATACACATACATTATTTAGATATATATAGATACGCGAAAGATTACTGTGTCAACCACTGATCTCAAAACTAGCTCGGTTATTTTTAAGAGTGCGCTACGGAACAGAAACATAAAAAATAGATTGTTTCTCTTTGTATGTTTGTATTAGCACAAAGATACACAATGGGCTGTCTGCATTCTGTTCACTGCGGTGAATCAAACCCCAGATTTTAGCGTTTTAAGTCCACGAATTTACAGCTGACTCATTGGGGGATCATCTAAAATAGAGGCTATTGTGGCATTCGGGATTGTTCTTTAAAATTTAAACCCCTTCTACTTGTCCGTAATCAATATAAACTTTTAGCAATTACATCTTGTCTTATCAATTTCTTGTTAGTTTGATGTGTATTATAACTTCATTTTTTTCATTGTTACATGAAGTCAACTAACAATAAATAAGTAAGGTAAAATTAGAAAATATGACAGAGTTACAAGTTTTCAGAGTAAACTCACATAAAAATAACCTAGTAAAACGTATCACAAACTAAAACAAGGTTGTCCTATTTTCTTATAAATTCTCATACAGTCTATCAATAAAACCTTTCAATTAAGACAAGGTTTCCTGATAAGTACATGGCATTACTTAACAATCGACAATACCAGTCTTCCAGAAAATAAGACAAGGTTTCCTGATAAGTACATGGCATTACTTAACAATCGACAATACCAGTCTTCCAGAAGATAAGACAAGGTTTCCTGATAATCATATAGCATTATTCAACTATGGACCAAAACAATCCTCCAGAAGTTAAGGCAAGGTTTTCTGATAATCGTATAACATTACTTAATTATAGACCAAAACAATCTTCCAGAAGTTACGACAAGGTTTCCTGATAATCATATAACATTTCTTTACTATAGACGAAAACAGTCTTCAAGAAGTTACGACAAGGTTTCCTGATAATCATATAACATTTCTTTACTATAGACGAAAACAGTCTTCAAGAAGTTACGACAAGGTTTCCTGATAATCATATAACATTTCTTTACTATAGACGAAAACAGTCTTCAAGAAGTTAAGAAAATATTTCCTGGTGCTCATCAAACCATTATTCGACAAAGGGCTCCGTGTGTATGTGTGTGTGTGCGTGTGTCTATTTGTAACTGGCGAACTGCTGGACCGATTGTCGCCAAGCATGCAATGCATCCTTAGAGACGCGGGTAGGAGTGACATAGAGGAGTTGGCGTTCGCATGTGATTACCCTATGTAGTTCCCGTTCGTTGAATGCGTACGATAACTAGTACACAGTAATTCTACAATAAACCAGAGCAGCCGTATACAGATAAAGATATGGTGTTTAATATTCGCATTACTTTACTTTAAAACGATCTTCTAGAAGGACAGGTTTCTGATATTCGCGTGAAATAGCTGTAAAATATAAGATAGGAGATAAATATTTCATAGCAGTTAGGATCCTGATATTCATATAAATAACTCTTGTAATACTGAGACGATTCCTTTAATGATATAGAATATATCTTTAAGAATACAAGAGATGCTGTCGAACATATTTTTTGTAGACCCAGAATATTTTGTGTATTACATCTTTGTGAAATATATCTTTGTTAACACGGGAAATGCTGTGGAATATATCTTTGTTAACACGGGAAATGCTGTGGAATATATCTTTGTTAACACGGGAAATGCTGTGGAATATATCTTTGTTAACACGGGAAATGTTATGGAATATATCTTTGTTAACACGGGAAATGCTATGTAATATATCTTTATTAACACGGGAAATGCTATGGAATATATCTTGTGAATGCGGAAAATGCTGTGGAATATACCTTTGTGAACACAAGATACCTATGTTGTGGAGTATATTTTTGTAAACACGAGATATGTTGTAGAATATATTCTTGTGAACACGAGAACACAGTGATTTACATTTATCTTCCTGCGTAGAACTCTCGAAACACTAATCCACGCTCCTTTAGAGAATATTAGATTTAAGACCTAGGACAACAAATGTGAACGAGGAATAGAAGATATGATATATTGACACTTGTAACTTTAAAATCACATTTAATGACGAATTCTGCTCAATTTTAGCTAATTAAATATTTTCTCTCTTGTTCAAGCAAAAACTACACAAAAGTATTACCATAAAAATAAACCTGTGATTCAATGCTATATTTTGTATTACCTTACAATTGTAAAATTAAGCAGTATCAAATAGGTGGTATTTTAATGTGTCACTAGCACGTTCTTTATGCTTCTCATTCCCAGTAAAAAAGAAATGAAAAGAGAGAATTCAAATGTAATGTATTTACTTCCCAACAGGTGAAGTAAGAAACTTTCTAAATCAGCAACAGTAGAAACACTTCTTGATATTTTGGTTTTTCACATTTGACTTTACATGGAACTTTACAAATCAAGTAACTTTTTAAATAGAAGGTTTTCTCTACTACTTTTACAAGACATCCTACTGGCTAAAATATATGCTTATTGTTTACATAAATACATGCCATAGTTCGTCGAGAATTGATGTTATTTTCTCGACAGTATATGAACTAAAATTAAATGGCTGAAACCTGGCTTTAATACATGCAACATATTAGAGAAGTGGTTCACATGTGAACTATATTCACAACCGAGTTACGTAGTTGCCTATCAGGTAATATCTTCGTTGTAAATCTGGGCCATTAAAGGGTGGTGAAAGAATGTAAAACTATAGTTTTCCTCTGTTTAACAAGGGAATTTTACAGGTTGTTCGTAAAGGTAATAACAGAAGACAGCCTGAGAAAGGAATGATGTCGTAGTTGCATATATAAAAGTGAAAACAAGTTGTTGCATGCTTGGAGAAACTGTTGGATTTGTGGTTAATAATTAACAAACCTACAGGAGATAACCAAATTTTATAAGCTACCATTAAAATATTATAAAAAGTAGGAGAAATTTTGTATTACTAATTGAATATTACATAAGTAATGTATATATATAGCTAATGTTCAGTAAGAATAGCCAACATAAGTAATGTATATATAGCTAATGTTCAGTAAAAATAGCCAATATCTCATCTGATTAATTAAAGTTTTTTATTCATGATAGGTAATATCTTTCAAAACAACTGACTTCATACTTTATGATCTACAATATTATATATCTTATAATTTTAAACTGAAAGTTACATAGATTTAACACCTAGAATAATATGTACAGAATCAATGCTTCGAATTTTACATTGTATTATGTACATAATTTTACACACATATTCTACAGATGTTTGCACACCACAGCCAGTTCTATAGCATTATATAAAAACAAAATACCTGATTTTTTCAAACTTGCAACATTTGTGGACTCGTGCAGCAAGCTACTTTAAACATTCCCAGATTTACTGGGTTAAAGAAGTTCAAAAAATCTTTTTAGGTTCTTTATCAACTAAGAAGAAAAAGCAGAGTTCAGTTTTTACCTTGAAGTTATTGAGTTTTTCAAAGCACGTGCAGAGAAGTAAAAAAAAAAAAGAATTTCACTCGTGTACAGGCACACAGCTGGCTCTCGTCTTTTTCCAGGGGTCTCTCATGATGGAAAGAAAGCATACATATTTTCCCCCTCGTCATCGATAGGGACAGTTGTCATTTAGACAATTTAAGCTGTACCTCTGGGTATTATATCACACTCAAAGAAACACGTGTTCGGAAATTGGTTGTTCTGTATCAGCTGACAGAATACATCAGAGAAGCAACCCCACCTAGCTTCAAACTAGTAAATCCTAATCTCAGATAAAAGATGATAAAATCACAGTTGTACAAGGACACAGGACGGCCCTAGTGGGTTGAAGATACACTAAAGAAAGGGGTATTTTGTTCCATAAAATAATTGCACTGACTGTACAAATTACTAATATATTTTAACTACGGAGGACTTAGTCATGTCGTTAACTATCGCTCAATATTCGTTTGTTCTAGATCCACTTTCGTATTATATCTTACTCTGCATTGTTGAATTTGATCATATACTATTTGGATCCTGTGTTTAAGTGTTTTTATACTATGCTCTGGCAGGAACGGTAACCAGTCAGACATACCTGGATCGTAGTTTATAAACGCTTGTTTCAAAAGTTTAGCAATGTTTTTAGTCCTGTGTATTCTGACTACAGAGTCAGCAGTTTTTTTACGAAACACACACAAGGAATTTATAAGATATCGGTGAAAGTGTTCATATTTGTCCAATAAGCGATAACCATGAAGAAGTCCAGATTCGTTATCAAAGAATATAAGTAATCCTGACTCTTTATGTTTAGCAAGATTATGCGTTGGTGAGTTCATCATCTCCGAATTCCACTGTTCGTTAAACATGTTGTTTACCATACGATCGAGATTAGCCGTCAAGTAATCAAATATGATCAAGTCTGACCACTGAGCAAGCTCTATTAATTCGTCCATCGTTTTATTGGACAGATCTTCAGCCACAGGATGAAGACGTCGATCTTTGGTGCGAAAGGCGGGAGGAATATAAGCAGGTTCTAAGTCGTCCACGAACTTGGTCAACACAACGGGCCGCTCGACATTCCACTGGGCCAAGTAAAGTTGGGAATGCACCCGCTCCCACTGACGCTCCTGACCTCTGATGACGGCCAGCACGGAGGGCGGCAAGTTTCCGATATTCAAAAGTCTACTTAGATAGAATGAGAAAATTTCTCCCTGGATTTGATCGTTGTTCTGTCTGTATCGACAACACGAATTATTTCCATTTTCAAAAGTAATCAATCGATTTTGCATCCTACCGCAGCCTTCTGAGATTTTTACTATCTTGGTTTTATTAACAAACTGACGCCAGTTGTCCATATCTTTAATGAATCCATCAGGGATATTTTTTTCCAGTTCTTCTGCCCAATATATTCCGTTGACTATGTTAGTTATTACCTTGGGATCTGGACCAGCATAATTCTTCTGGCTCCTAAGGGAAAAGGGGGTTACCGAGGTACTCGGTTGTGTTGAGGAGATATCATCAATATTGTTACTGCCGAGGTTGACTCCAGAAGTCAAGAGCCTTCCTACGTATTTCGCTCGCCCCGGCAAGTTTCGCTTCGCCGTAGGGAGCCAGCGGAGACTGGGCTTGGGGTGGAAAGTGGTAGTGGCCAAACTCTCTGGAACAAGGCGGCTTTCCGCGGGGAGTAAACCTGTCATTTCGTTGTTCTCAACCCCTACTGCTGTTTCGTTAAAACCTTTATTAAAACTCAAATTTTTAGCTCCACTATTTTTCAAATTAAGTTTCGTAGTTAGAAAATAGTTCGATCGGTTCTCATTTTTGTGAGAAATTTTTGAAGAGTCAATACGAACTAAGTAATGCGATGGAATTACGGAATTCGCAATTAATATTTCCTTACCGTTTTCAGCGACCTGCCCCTTCTGTTGAAAACCATTTGTCAGTGCCACACGGCCTGTTTTCAGCAGATGAAGCATTTCGTCTTTCAAAGTGTGCCCTTCCTTTGTCCTTTCGAGACTATCATCCGGTTTTTCACTATTAAGAAACTGGTGCACGTTCAGCATTCCTTCCTTTTCATCTGGTCTAGGAACAACAACAATCACTGAAGCTTGAGTTACTGATAAACTCTGTGTTATGGGCTCCACATCCTGCCATTCTTTATCAGTGACTTGTTTCTTATAGTCTCGTCCACGAGATGTAAAAAATCCTGGCGTTGAAGATGATCCAGACAGATACACTGGTAATAGAACTCCGCATAACATTCCTACGGTAAAGGCGATACCAGCTGAAGTCAAACACAGTCTATGGGACAGTAAGCCAAAGCTTTCCTTATGTGATCTAGGACAGTTATTCATAGCTGGATTAGATGGTTGTGCACTGGTGTTCTATAAAAAGCCTACATTTAGCGTTTAAAATAAGACAGACACTTGTAATTTTCACTAGACACTCGATTCTGCTGTAAAGTTTCTTAACACGCACGAATGGCCTTCAAATTGTTAAAATGATAGAAAATAAACGACACCTCCGAGTATAAAACATCACAACTTTTGACATCTCTCACTAACTACTTACCGACTGGACCCGTTAACGTTATAATACACTGTCTCCCATCTACAGTTATTTTACATCCTGTAGGACAATAACACTGACTGAGGGGGAATGCGCGAGCTACAGACAAACATGTAGAAATCATTCCTTCTAAGATATAAAATAAGGAAAAACCTCAACGTGTCACAGTATCACGTAACAAGACCACCAATAAGAAATCGACTTGTTTTCCACACCTATATCTCACCAACAACCAGTTACAACAACCATCAGGCCGATCTTGAACTGCACTTGTCTCTGGACTGGTGTCAATGTCGGTTTGCGTCTCTCAGCTTAGTTCCACTAGTCCTTACAAGATTGAGTCTTTTTGTGAAGTCGTTAAGCAAGTAGGCTACCCAGGGCTCTATCTCGTTCTTCTTCCCTGCCCTTCAATCACTGCCCCTCCCTTTCCTTCCTCCAATGGTAGACCTGGGCACTGCGGGAACTGAAGATCACCACAGTGCTCACCTGGCGTTTCAAGTCTTGGCTCTGATCCCGGGTCTCCCACTGGTCACTAGAAAATGAAAGAAAATGGCGCAACACTGAGGAAACATACATGGTATTCTAAAGTAAACAACTTATTTCTTTAAACCACTGTTAATAGCCGTTAATGTACTATTTCTTATACTAGAAAGAAAATTCTAACTGATTAAGTACGTAACATTCTGCTAACATTAGCTCTGTGAAATCTCAAATGCACACTGACAAAACAATCGTGGAACTACATGAGCTGAGCAAACGAACACGGTGCGCAGTAGATAACGCAAAAAGATCAATGCGCATTTCGCCTGCTGTGAAACCTACTTTTATGAATGATTGGATATCAAAGGAAAGGAGGCCAAGCTACCTTGAAACGAGGTCGCATAGATGTTTAAGTGAAGGAATATTTGGTTATCGGTGTACAGACAGAAGTGCCGAGGCTTGTAACAATAGTGACTATTACTTTGTTTCGCCACCCACGCAACAGAGATACGGGTTTGTCACTGGCGTTCTCGTTAAGATAAGACCTGCTGTTTTTCAGGCGTGCACGTTTCTCCTCCTTTCGCCGTAGGGACCGACCGATGCTACATACCCCCTACCTCAGTGTCTGAATGGTAGTCTGTCGGTCGGAACTCCCATGGATCTGAAAAACATGCTTGAAAAACGCTTAGGTTGTAAATTTGATGAGCTATGTACACATGCGTTGTTAGATACGAAGGAGGATATGGAAGTTTTACACAATAGCTTACTGATGGACGGAGTGATAAGTGTTGATATTTTACATATTCATTTAGACACGTGTAACCATTTTCAATTCAAACGATTAATTCTTGATTATAGTGAATCATGAAAGCTATGTCTAAATCTTGAAGTACAAGGTTACGAAACGCAGAGAAATTCGAAAAAAATCCTAGCTGACTCAAGAAAGCTGAACGTTCTTCATATTCCGTGCCAAATGTTGAAATATTACCTAAAATATGATATATGTAATATATTTGTATTGGTATAAAAGCTGACGTCAGCTATACAATATTGAAACAGTAAATAAACTTACAAATTCGCCCACTTTCAAAATGCGCTTTTTTTGCATTACAAGTTTGCCAAAGTCCTCATCAGCTGTACATAAGTTAATGTTATATATATATATTTAGTTGCCACAAAATGATTTTGTTTTATGTTACACATTTTTAATATTAACATAATAGAGCGAAAGCTAATTAACGAACAAAGAATTCTCACAATAAGGAAAATGTGAAAAAAAAGAGAAAGAGCTGCATTGTTTCATTGTAGACACTCGTGGTTGTTTCAGTTTTCAACCATTGTCTTAACATTTGTATTCCTTAATAATCGTACTTAGCTTTGTAATTACTTTATTACTGCTTGAGACCAGTTACTAGACTATCAATGCAAATATAGAAAATGTCGTTTGGAATCCAGACGACATTTTAAGTATGTATCAACGTTTCTTGGTTGAGGTTGCCAGGCAACCTCAACCAAGAGACGTTGACACATACTTAAAACCCACCCAAAGGCCTTCATGAACAAATAGAGTTCATTGTGCGAAGAGCTGGTAATCAATTTTCCTGAACCGTAATAATCATTCAGTTACGATTCGGTACCAGATGTATAAAATCCTGTTATGATATAATGTATATATGCATTCATAAATTCGTGACGTAAAGGAGATGATGTCCCCCAACGTTCTGTTGTTGCACGGCCTAGTAATCTTATTGAGATAAATAACCTGGATCAAATAACCTAAACTAATTATTGTGTTTAAATGTGTTACAGCAAAACTTTAATTACACTTCCATCAATAGTTTGATTCGTATGGCTGATAAGAAGTTAGGAATGTTAAAAATTGGTCAGTAATATGATCAACTTATTCCATCGTCCCACTCGTTCTTGTTACAACTATTACTTTAATCAATTAGATTGTAAAGAGAAGGGTAGAAATAAAACAATATTAATTTTTAGTCTTGGTTTACTGCAAAACGAAAAGTCAGCATGTAAGAACATTTTTTTGATAAAACTTAAAAAAATATGTTATACAGTCTGGCGTTAAACCTAACGTTCAAATGTCAAACATAAGCCAAACCTCTTTGCACCATTATTTGTAAAATTGTACAAGGTGAAGGTACGGGAACATTCTATCAGCAGTTCCTCTCATTGCATTTTAAATGTAAAAATCAAGTTTGTTAAATTTTGTATCGTAGTATAAAGGAATGTAGCATTTTATATAGTTATTATGATTATAATAACTTATGAGTGAAAGTATAAATGAATATTAAGATATGTCAACTACACTATATCTTCTATGTACAGTGCCGACGAGGCCTTTCGCCTGTTACCAGTGCTCATCAGGACGTCTGGGATGTTATTAGTAGATTGGAAATGCGATCAATTCTTCATTAAGTCTCTTGTACAATCTAAGCACTTAAAAATGTAAACCATATTTTTTTTTTCAGATATATTAAAGCTACAGGCAGTAAACGTAAATGATATATAAACTTAGAGCTTCCCAATAATTCTTAATAACAAACAGATTAAACTGAGATAACAAAAATATTTAAAGTTGTAAGAATTTAAACTTGTGTAATTATAGGTGTCAGTCTTAGAAAGAGGTCATTTCAAGGTGAAGTTTATAGGATATGGAAATATTTTAGTTCTAAGAAACTATTAATTGTTTTTGATTAAACTAGCTAAAATGTAACAATGATGAAAATAAATAAATACAAAAGATGTATTAATATAAAATTATCAAATTTTCGACGGTTTTATATAATTAGGCCTTGACGAAGCAGAGCTTTAACTAGTATACGTTATTATGTAGTCACAAAGTACTAGCTAGAATAAAATTGAATGTATTCAAAATTGTACAGCTAAAGAAACAACATGGAGTGATGATCTTTTGTGAAGCCACGACACATTTTCTGGTGAGCTCAAGAATTTGAAAGTAGATCCTTTGAAACTGCAGCTTAAAACAAACCTAGGACCAGCATTTCCGTTACTATTCAAACAATTGTAAATTTTGCTTTAATAATGAATTCGTACACATTTTTTCACAGATGAAAGAATTTGGTTTCTACTAATTTATAGGTTTATGTCACTCCCTAGTGGTGTATCAATGTTTGCTTTAACCGTATGTTAAATGTTAAATATAGGCCTATGAATGCAACCCCTGGGAAGTATTTTTACATAATGTTATTTTGCTGAGGCAGAGAAGAAACCTTAATGGATCGATTATTGAAGAACTGTAAATCTCCCAACCTGTTTCGAAACTGGTATCATATGTGTTAATCAGAATGTTTTAACCAATAAATTATCTTAAGATCAACGTGGTTCTTATGATGTAAGTACCATCTACATAGATGTGTTCCTGATTATATATTTTAATCGTTACATCTTTCAATGTGTGAAACTCCAATATTGGACTTTTTCCGTGATAATTAACCATAGACAGTGAAAGATATCTTGGGTAAAATCACCCACACATAGCCCCTTTTACAAACTTAATGCTTTCAATAAAAAGTGCTCAGTCATTAGTATATAGGTTTTAATACCTCAAGGTCCTTCTGGGATTCTTGCTTATGTTTATTTCGCTCATCCATATGCTCGCTGTTGAAACATTGAGTCAACATTGAGACGCCATTGGTATTGCTAACACTTAACCATATAAACTATGTAACCATATATACACTTGCTCAAAAATATTCCAAACAGCCCTGTTCTCATAAGCAGTTCAACTGAAAAAAATTACACTTGACGAAAGTATTGAACTTTACCTCGAATTTCAAGTTACGAAAGTAGCCTCGAAGTTAAAATTTTTGTTTCACAAACATTTGTTTTGTAGGACACACAGAGGATAACTAAACTATCAGGTTTGTTAACTGTAGTTTTAACCGTTATCCATCTATAGGGCGATGTGTAAACTTCTGTGCTTTACCTCAAAACAATCCTGCTCACAAAACCAAAATTTAATCTTCCTTTCGCCGTTGCTTACAATGTCAAAGTATCTGCCGACATTATCATGGCAAATAGAAAACATTAAACGTTCTTATTCGTAAATTAGAAATAAATTTCTAAATTTTCTAATACTTTTTTTCAGGTTACTTCTTTAACCAACAGCAAACACTGATAATGTGAAGGCTACATCATAACGTTCTTCAAGTACAAACGCACCATGGAACTTTGTATACTCTATTGTAATATAGTATTCTGTTTATAACGAATACTTACGAACATTTTAAACGTGTTTATGATATAGGTTGTCATTAGACTCTAGAATATATAATCTATATGATGTTTGTATAGACTAAGTATGAAATCTGTTTAACAATAACAATTAAAATCAGACCGTACACCCTGTATAAAAGATAAAATGTTCATAAGCAAATTAGCAAATTGTTGACTTAGATAAATTCTTGACATGTGTATTTTGTTTTCAACTGTTACATACTTAATACAGTCAGTGAGCAAGAGAAAGTTATAAGTTTTCATAACTTTAAATGCCCCCAGTAGCACAGCGGTATGTCTGCGCAATTACAACGCTAGAAACCGGGTTTCGATACCCGTGGTGGGCAGAGCACAGATAGCCCTTGTGTAGCTTTGTGCATAATTAAAAACAAAAACAAACAATCAAACATAACTTTAAAAAGAAAGTGGGTGATTTCAAACTGTTAGAATGTTAGAACTGTTAGATATGTTTGAGTTACAACAGACAAATAGGCACAATCATTTTTTTGTTGTTGTAAAGAACAAAGGACTATCTGTGCACTGCGCTCCGCAGGTATCGAAACCCGATGTTTAGTGTTATAAGACCACTGACTTACCGCTGAGCCATCGGGGCATAGGCACACATACACACGCAAAAACAAACTCTCCGCTATGAATAATCTACATAAATTCTAAATTAGCATTCTAAATAGGTTTATAGTTCCAAGTTGTAACGTAAACCTAGGACCCTTCAGTTATTTCAATGGAATATATAAAAACACCTGAAGAGTTTATTAATTAAAGTTTGTACTTTAAATATAACTGAAATATTTCTGACACATCACATACACATAATGTTGTTTAATTGGCTAAATTACTTCTGGAA